AGGCATGTACAGAGCTTTTCATTGCAGCATTGTCTGAAATAGCAGATAACTAAAATTAACCTAAAGGACCACCAACAGGAGGAGTGGTCAGATAAACTGGGGAATATTGCAAACCATAGAAAACTGTAACTATTGAAAAATAATGGAGTTTCAATATAAGAAAAAAGCATGTTGCAGAACAATATGTATAATATAACATCACTTACTTACAAATGAAAAATAAAACTATACACTTGTGTGTGCATATATATGCATGCAAATGACAAGCAAATGTCTAGAGAGTCACATAAACTTATGACTGGTTACCTAGGGGAAAGAGACCAAGTGAGCAGGTGGCCAAGGGAGACTTTTGTATTCTCTGTACTGTTTGAACCTTTAAACAAGAATACATTTGTCTTTTACTTGGCTGATAAATAAAAGAGTTAAAAGACAAATGATAGTGAGACACTATAAAATTTAAGAGAGAAAATAGTAATATTTCAATATGAAAAACAACTTTTATTTTATTTTTTTTATTTTTTATTTTTTTTTTTTTTATTTTTTTTTTTTTTTTTTTTTGAGACAGAGTCTCACTTTGTTGTCCAGGCTAGAGTGAGTGCCGTGGCGTCAGCCTAGCTCACAGCAACCTCAAACTCCTGGGCTCGAGTGATCCTTCTGCCTCAGCCTCCCGAGTAGCTGGGACTACAGGCATGCACCACCATGCCCGGCTAATTTTTTCTATATGTATTAGTTGGCCAATGAATTTCTTTCTATTTATAGTAGAGACGGGGTCTCGCTCTTGCTCAGGCTGGTTTCGAACACCTGACCTCGAGCGATCCGCCGGCCTCGGCCTACCAGAGAGCTAGGATTACAGGCGTGAGCCACCGCGCCCGGCCATAACTTTTAGGTTATAGAGATTTCTTAGACTTTCCAGAGTTGCAAGATAAGAGTAAGTCCAATTAAAGCTGAATTGATATGATACCTGTCATTCAAGTGAAGAGTAAAATATGTAGTCAAGAATTAAAATCATCTAAAATATCTGGATATTTGATATGTAGAAATTGATTTTTCTTTCAGTTTTTGTTCATATATCAAATAGACACAGATTGAGGTCCGCCTTTCATGTCACTGGTTTTAATTTATTTAAATAATTAAATTGTTGAGTCCTTTATTAATATTTTACATTGAGCACAGTCCATATCAATAAGATGAACTCTCATTGGCACTGGATTTTTTTCCCTGATCAAAAAAGTATCATATGCTTAATGTAAACAAAAGGGGGGAAACATTGAAAGTTATATATGATTAAGGAAGCTTAGAGGTAAAAAAAAAAAAAAGAAAGTTATGAAGGAAAAGTAAAGTAAAAATGTAATTCCATCTTGAAAAATATATATTGTAACCCTAATAATTTAACATCCAAGGTGGAAGGATCAGATTATGAGACTAGCCTGGGCAATATAGCCAGACCCATCTCTACAAAGAATAATTTAAAAATTTAACCAGATATAGTGATGCTCCTGTAGTCCCAGCTACTCAGGAGGCTGAGGCAGGAGGCTCCCTTGAGCCTAGGAGCTTGAGACTGCAATGAGCTATGATCATACAACTGCACTCCAGCCTGGATGACAGAGCAATATCCTGTCTCTAAAAAAATAATAATAAAATAAATAGATACTGTTGTCCAAGCATGGTGGCTTATGCCTGTAATCCCAATACTTTGGGAGGCTGAGGTGGGAGAATCAGCTGAGGCCAGGAGTTTAAGACCAGCCTGGACAACATAGGTAGACCTTGTCTCTACCAAAAAAAAAAAGTCAAAAAGATTAGCTAGGTGTGGTAGTACATGTCTGTAGTCCAAGCTACTGAGGAGGCTGAGTGAGACAGGAGGATTGCTTGAGCCTGGGAGTTTGCGGTTGCAGTGAGCTATAATCAGGCCACTGCACTCCAGCTTGGGTGACAGAGAACCCCTGTCTCTAAAAAAAAAAAAAAAAAAAATACTGTTAACATCTTTTGGGTGTTTATCCCTTTGCATATAGGTGGTCGGGGAACTGGGTTATCACTGTGAATACTGTTTTGTATCCTTGTTTTTCTCAATGAACATTTTATTGTGGCTGGGCGAGGTGGCTCACGCCTGTAATTCCTAGCACTATGGGAGGTCGAGGCGGGTGGATCACTCAAGGTCAGGAGTTCGAAACCAGCCTGAGCAAGAGCGAGACCCCGTCTCTACTATAAATACAAAGAAATTAATTGGTCAACTAATATATATAGAAAAAATCAGCCGGGCATGGTGGCGCATGCCTGTAGTCCCAGCTACTCAGGAGGCTGAGGCAGCAGGATTGCTTGAGCCCAGGAGTTTGAGGTTGCTGTGAGCTAGGCTGATGCCACAGCACTCACTCTAGCCTGGGCAACAAAGCCAGACTCTGTCTCAAAACAACAACAGCAAACATTTTATTGTAAGTATTTCTGTATATTGTCACAGATTCCTCAAAAATGTTTATAATGGCATAAGGATATTCCAAAGCATAGATACACTATAATTTATCTATCTATTCTTTTATTATAGGAAATTTAGCTTCTTTTCTTTTTTCCTTCGTTTTTTTTACTATTATACTTGACTCTATGAAGAATACCCTTGCATGCAATTCTTTGCTTCCATCTTTGATTATGTCCCTAGGATATATTCCTAGAAATGGAATTATAGGATTGTCTTGGTTATTTTTTATCCCTATGCCTCAGCTCCACCCCAACCTCTTCCGTACTTCATTCTGCTCCTGGTCTTCATGGATTGCATCTCCAGAATCCCTTGACCTTTGGCTTCCTTGAGATCCAGTCCACGGGTAGCACCAGCAGGAGATCAGAGGGCTGGAAGAGAAAAAAGTCAGGGTGTTTCCTGTTCATTCTCTTCCTGCTTTGAGCCAGTGGCTGCAGGACCCTCCCTGCCTCCCACCCAGCCTCCTTTCTTGGTGGTCCCGCCTCCACCATTCCACCTTTTAGTGGATTCCATAAGATTATTTCCTCCCTTTGTCCCTTTAGCTTGGAGTGGTAATTGCTTCCCACTATTGTTCTTCTCTAGGTGCCTTAATATCACTTGTTTACCCCCTCAACCAAGCCTACCTGTCTGTATTAAAGTCTCTTTTATTAAACTCTCTTCATTTGAAGCTCCCTGAGTGAAATCGCTTTCCTTTTGGGATCCTGGCAGACACAGGATTAAAGCGTATTAACTTTGCAAATACATTTTAAAATGCATTCCTGATAGATATTGCCAAATTGCATTGCTGAAAGGTCATATCAGTTTACACTGCTATTAGTAGAGTATGAAAGCCTTATGAGATGGACTCTTGGGGTTGCAACAGATTTTTTAGGGCATTCAGTTTCCTGTTATCCAATGTCTTCGTCTCTGATGTCACTTGTAGGCAAAGGGTTCTGCTGTAGGCCAGCTAAAGAAAAGGCATACATGACACAGGTGAGAATATTGAGATAAGCAGTTGTGTATGTACAATCCTGAAATTCCAAGTGCAAGAAGAGACCCCGGATTGTACTGTGAAGATGACTCCTTTGATTGACTTCTCTGTACAGGGAAGAACACATCTGCCTGGGCACACAGACAGTGTCCTGTGGTTTGGGGATGTCAGCTCATATGCAGACGACAGCTAAACACAAGCCCAGGAAACCAGTGCTGTTGCCCTAAGGTCCCAGTTCTCACATTGTAGGAGAAGTCCTATTAATACTTCATCTTCCTAGTCCTGGCTTTCTTAAGAGAACATTTTGTAGGCACATGGATTATGAGAAGGAGAAAGAATCCACAAAGACATTTTCTTCCCCTACTTCCCAAGTGAGAGGCAACTACTGGCATTTTACACAATGGTTGCTAGAATGGGGCTGAGATTTTAGCTAAGTGATTCAGATGTTTATACTATAGCTGAACCAGTGACATAGGTGGAAATATTGTGCTTTTTCATTTTCTTGCAAAATAATGAGACACCTAGTGGGCACAACATGACAATACCTTTATGGGAGATGGTGAGTTCAGTCAATACCCAGGTAAATGATATTCACCAACTGCCTCAACGTTTAATTCTACAAAAGTAGTCCTGTTAGAGAGATACAGAGGGCAAGGAATCGGAACAACCATTGATTCATATTGGATAACTAAGATATATTAGCATGTATTTTATAGTGCTAAGTACGTTTCAAAGACCTTTCAACATAAAGCTTCTTCCATAACACTAAGTACCATCATAGTCATCCTCCCCACTAGGCTGTGGGCCTCCCTGAAAGAAGAGGCCACACCAGTTTCCTCCCAGCATAAGCCTAGTGTCTAGTACATAAAGAATAGGAGCTCGGTAGAAGTTCGATGAACCAAACTGATCTGAATAACTACCACAAGGGATGGGATAGGTTTTTATTTTTTTCTTGGTGAGGAAACAAAAGATCAAAGAGTAGAGTGGCCCTCTAGTTAAATAAGTATAGGAGCCAAACACGGATAAAAGCCTTAAGTATAACAGCCTTTGTCCATGCCCAAACAGACCAGTAGGAAAGCCCCCTTGCTCACATAAATGCCCACTGGCCTTCCCTTCTGTTTTGAGTTAGCAGCATGCATCTTTATTCCATTGCCAGGGACCCCTCTGGAAGGTCACAGTGTCTAACTCAGAAGTCGTCAACCCATGACTCAAGCGAGACCCCAGTGGCAGGCCTTCCTCAGAGAATCTTCCATGTTAGATTACCTGATATCATTCTCCACTTTCATCTCATGATAGGGCTTGTGCATTTCTATCCCCATAGGCCACATGCTTAATTAAGTACCTGGAGTGTAGATGGAGTGATATGCTTATGTTACCAAGGTTTAGCCAAGGGACTTATAAATCCTGAGATGTCCCTGGCCAGGCTTTGTCTTTGGAAAGCACCTTATAAAAGGTCCTCATCATACGGCATGTAAAAGGCTAACAAAACCTGGGAGGTGGTTGGTCCGAGTGCAGTGGTGTTTACACGAATTAATCACAACCAGTTACAGATGTCTTTGTTCCTTCTCCACTCCCACTGCTCCACTTGACCAGCCTTAAAAAAATAAAAAAAAACCCTGGGAGGTTATCGGGGCCAGTGTTTCTCCAACTAGGGTACATGGACCCTTGGGAGTTCCACTGTTGAGTTTTTGGGGTCTAGAAGGTATCTACAACTATTTGTAAGTTTGAATTTTCTTCTATGATCATTTGTAATTAATATAAATATCTTCTGGACCACTTGGTTAGACACTTCATAAGTAGATCTTGACATAAGAATTCACTGTTCCACATAAAGCATTTACAATATCCTCATAGTCAACTAAAATAATATCATGTAACTGCTTTTATTTAGATATAATTCATATGCCATAAAATTCATCCTTTGAAAGTGTACAGCTCAGTGATTTTTTTTTTTTTTTTTTTTTTGAGACAAAGTCTCATTCTGTTGCCCAGGCTAGCATGCCATGGCGTCAGCCTAGCTCACAGCAACCTCAAACTCCTGGGCTTAAGGGATCCTCCTGCTTCAGCCTCCCAAGTAGCTGGGACTACAGGCATGCACCACCATGCACCGCTAATTTTTTTCTATTATATATTTTTAGTTGTCCAGCAATTTCTTTCTATTTTTTTAGTAGAGACAGAGGTCTTGCTCTTACTCAGGCTGGTCTTGAACTCCTGAGCTCACCTGCCTCGGCCTACCAGAATGCTAGGATTACAGGTGTGAGCCACTGTGCCCAGCCCAGTTCAGTGATTTTTTTCAGTATAGTTATAAAGTTGTACAACCTTCATCACTATATAAGTCCAGAACATTATCACCACCACCACCCCCCCAAAAAAATCCCTGTTAGCAGTCACTGCCTATTGCTCTCTGTCCCCAGCCCCTGGCAACTACTAATCCACTTTCCATCTTTATGGATTTGCCTATTCTGGACATTTCATATAAATGGAATCATGTGACATGTGGCCTTTTGTGTCTGGCTTCTTTTATTTAGCATGTTTTCAAGGTCCATCCATGTTGTAGCATGCATCAGCACTTTGTTCCTTTTATGGCCATTGCACCCCATTGTTTGTCCATTCATCAGTTGATGGACATTTGGTTTATTTCCACTTTCTGGCCATTATGAATAATGCTACTATGAGAAACTTTAAATTCCAAGTTATAAAATCTGGGGTCTTCAAGTCTTCAGATATGTTCTTGGGGTCTGTGACTTCTCAAATTCAGTCTGGACTCTAGACTGACTCCATCACTTAACAAATAAAGAAATTGATCAGGTTCTACTCACAGAGTTGATGGAAGCTTCTGTGACTAGATCTGCAGCACAAGCTTGCTGTCGTTCTCATCTATGAGGGATGGATATCTTTATTTAGGGCCTTCCCAAGTCATCTGGTCAGCTGTCTGATGCAGAGGGCTGCTGTTGGCAGTGTGATTAACACTTTGCTAATAACACTGATGTATATTGGCTTAGCCCAGAAGCCAGGCAGCTTTTAATTTTCCAAACCCTTGGCCTGAATACTGGTAGTATTTCCACAGGCTAAAAGCCAGCAAAAAGAATCACCTGGCCAAACATCCCCATTCAGCCTGCTTTCCTTAGAATGACGTCCCAGGGGAGCTCTCTGGACAAACAAAGTTGTTGACCCAGTTTGAAGGGCTGGAAAATTATCATGTGATTCACTGGGACAACAGAGCAAAGTGCCAGGCCCCTGGGAAACCATAAGCACAGGTTTTCAGTGTCATTTATGTCCCCACAGGGTGGGACTAGGAGTCCCAGGGCAGCCTGCCACTTTTCACCCAGCTGCTTCTCCGAGTGGTTTCCAAGCTCCTTGGCCCTGTGTACAGTGCTGCAGGCGCCATTCCTGTCTTCCTCCCAGCGGGCTCTGCAAACAGCAACTCAGAGAGTGACAGCTGAGTTATAGGAAACCAAAACAAAACTGGATACCTAGAAGAAGACGTGTAGTGTTGTTTGGAGCAAGGCCATAGGATCTCTCTGGGAAGGAAGTGCTGAAGCAGCTACAAAAATTTCAAACTGAAGACCAGGAATCCAGAGGCAGCATTTTAAGATAATACGCATATGAGTGAGTCAGGGCCTTGCAAAACAGCACCTCCAAATTACTTAAGGAGTGTTTTATAATGTTCTAAAGATGCTACTTCCTAAATTACACAAAGAGCTGGAGAAACAGCCAGAAAAGCAATGCAGGGAAAAGTGTGGTTGCGTTAGATGCAGTGGACGGTTTGTGGCTTCGATGTCAGGAGTGCCAAAAGCTCCATGGGTCCTCAGATAACTCTTCCATGGGCACAAAGGACTTCTTGAGGAAGGGTGAGTATCAAAGTGGGAGCTGCTAAATAGCCAGGATAGTGGAGTAGCTGTTGACAAGACTAGGTGAGAAGAAAAGTCATCCATGGCCTTTTATTTATTTATTTATTATTTATTTATTTATTATTTAGTGACACCTGATTTCACTACTAAAATGCCAGGGTCTTCATCATCAGGATGATGTATTTTTTTTTTTTTTTTTTTTTTTGAGACAGAGTCTCGCTTTGTTGTCCAGGCTAGAGTGAGTGCCGTGGCATCAGCCTAGCTCACAGCAACCTCAAACTCCTGGGCTCAAGCAATCCTCCTTCCTCAGCCTCCTGAGTAGCTGGGACTACAGGCATGCGCCACCATGCCCGGCTAGTTTTTTCTATATATATTAGTTGGCCAATTAATTTCTTTCTATTTATGGGAGAGATGGGGTCTCACTCTTGCTCAGTCTGGTTTCGAACTCCTGACCTCGAGCAATCCGCCCGCCTCAGCCTCCCAGAGTGCTAGGATTATAGACGTGAGCCACCATGCCCGGCCAGGATGATGTAGTTTTAACATATAATTTGATCCAGGATCATACAAATTCAGTTTTGGTGAATGCTTTAAGAGAGTGAGTGATCACTAAATTCCTCCCACTGTAGGAATGCCAAATGAAGTCTCTCTCTCCTTCCTGGTTTTGGAGGATAAACTTTTGTGCCTGGAAGAACTAGAAGAAGATAATTTGATCACCAAGTTTTTGGTTCTCTACCTCCACCCCTCTCATCCCCTCGCTTCACTTCTTACTTCTTCCCTTTTTCCTTGCTGCCTCTGTCTACTTCTGACAGATCTGGCAAACAAACAGCAGATCTGCAGAAAGATGCTGTTTGCTCCCCACCTTGGTGCTGCTGCTGCAGATTGCTTCACGGCTGCTGTCTCCTGGGCTCAGGCAAAGTGCCCGCATCAGTCTTTGTCATCAAAATCCCAGTGTCTGCCCTGCGTGCTGGGTGTCCTGCAGGCAGAGCCAGCGGGCCAGCCCCAGGCATGGGCTTAGGTGGAAGACTAAAGGGGGACTAGAGAGAATATTCAGAATTAGATGACAAAGATAAAATAGGGGCAGAATCAGGTAAAAAAAAATTTTCTTTCCACCTACCTGACTGTATCTTCCTGATGCATGCAGTAGTGTGCTAGCAGCGCTGTCCATTAGAACTTTCTGCAATGATGGACATGTTCTACATCTGCACTGTGTGATAAAGCGGACACACATGGCTACTGACGACTTGAAAAGTAGCTAGAGGAGACTTTTCATTCTGTTTAATTTTAATTAATTCAAATATAAATAGTCACACGTGGTTAGTGATGACTGTATTAGAGACACTAGGTTTAAAGATAGCAGAGCTGGGAGAGGTGGCTTATGCCTATGGTCTCAGCTATTCAGGAGGCTGAGGCAGGAGGATCGCTTGAGCCCAGGAGTTTGTGCCTGCAGTGAGCTATAATTGTGCCACTGTACTCCAGCCCTGGCAACAGGGCAAGACTTTGTCTTTTTAAAAAACAAACAAACAGAGGGCAGGCATGGTGGCTCACCCCTGTAATCCTAGCACTCTGGGAGGCCGAGGCAGGCGGATTGCTCGAGCTCAGGAGTTCGAAACCAGCCTGAGCAAGAGCGAGACCCCGTCTCTACTATAAATAGAAAGAAATTAATTGGCCAACTAATTTATATAGAAAAAAATTAGCCAGGCATGGTGGTGCATGCCTGTAGTCCCAGCTACTTGGGAGGCTGAGGCAGGAGGATTGCTTGAGCCCAGGAGTTTGAGGTTGCTGTGAGCTAGGCTGGTGCCACGGCACTCACTCTAGCCTGTGCAACAAAGCGAGACTCTGTCTCACAAACAAAAAAGTAAAAATAATAGTAATAATAATAATGACAAAAATAAAAGAGAAATGTAGCAGACCAGGACTGCATTGGTGTTGGAGTCTGGAGTCCTGGGTTCAGATCCTAGCTCTTGTGTTTCTAGCTTGTTACCTAAAGGAAGATACTTAACCTCTCCGTACCTCTTTTACATAGCTGGGAAATGGGGCTAATCATGTCTACGTTATGGCGTTATGATAGGTATGGTAGATGGGGGCTTGGATGGGAGAGGAGTCATTTACCTGTAAATGATTAAGTGTAATCAACAAAACTGGCCACAAGTATCTGGGAGAGACAGAGGCCGGGGGAAGTGTGACCCTGGATTACCACTTGTGTTGCCAAATTGTTGCAGTTGCATCAGGATCTCACATTCACAGTTCTTTTCACTTTTTAAATATTTTCCTTGGAATCTTTCACTTTTATTCTGAGAAACAGGCAAGGCGAAGACTATCAGTTTCATTTTGCCCATGAGAAAACAGAGGTTTAGAGAAAAGATACTAATTGTCCAAAACGTCACACTGAGGAATTAGAGGAGACAACAACAATCTCGCAGCGGGTCAGGGCCAAGCCTCACGAGGTCCCAGGCTGCAGGAAAGCCTTCAAACTTGCATGTGGTACAAAAGAGCTTCTTAATTCTGTTCCCTTCGCCTCTCTAGCCAACTCATGGCGTGATATTCCTCCTTGTATTGACAGATTCACAAAAATGTGTAACAAAACTCTGCTCTCTGGAAGACAGCAACTGCAATGTTTACCACCACCGAATCCCATACATGCATTCCACGTGGCTGTGAAGAAATGCTCCTGTCCTGCTTTCTCATCCTTTCTCTGGTTAAGTCTGTCAGTGCTTGCTACTCAGGCACTGAGAGTATTTCAGGAGACCCTTGCACATCCATTTGCCTATATTTTCATGCCTATACTTACCTTCTTTTTTTTCTTTTTTTCCTCAATGAAAGTTCAGAACAAATGTAATTACCTTCTTTTAATGTCTATGAATAAGAGATCTGTCATCTGAGAAAAGCTCAGGAAAACAGAACGATAGAAATGAAACTCAGCAAAACCACTTCCCCATCTTCTTGTGCACAACAGCGCCCCCTGTTGACCGAGGCATGCCAGTTTAAAATGAAAAAAACAAAAAACCCCACAACAAAACAAACCCCTCCCCCCCAAAACCAACAACAATCTTTATTGAGGTACAAGAAGGCTTTTCCATTTCAGGGGCAAACAAGGTGAGCACACCCAGTTTAATGCTGTGCTGTGTGGTAAAAGTAGTACCCTCCTTTATAAATAATGGCGCCAGCTCCTGCAGGGCTATCTTTATTTCAATCTGTATTTCAATCTCACTGGAGAGAGTGCCCTCCGTTTGATTTCTTTTCTTTTTCTTTTTTTGAGACAGAGTCTGGCTCTGTTACCCGGGCTAGAGTGCTGTGGCGTCAGCCTAGCTCACAGCAACCTCAAACTCCTGGGCTCAAGCAATCCTCCTGCCTCAGCCTCCCACGTAGCTGAGACTACAGACAAGCTCAACAGGTCACCATGCCCGGCTCCATTGGAGTTCTGCATGGCCTTTCCTCCTCCCTCCAGTTCCATTACTCATTCTGCTTAAGGCTAACTTCCGTGGTGCTCTGGTTTTCGTTCCTTCCTCCTTGCCGGAGATTCCCCGTTATGGAGCAGCCCCCCTCTCTGCTGACTCATCATCCACTTCTTATGTACTGGCTTCTTTTCAGTCTTAAAAACAAACACAAACAAAACACAACAAAAAATAAGTACCTCTTTCTGCCTCCCCATTCCTCCCTTCAGGCACTCATTGCTGTATCTCATGCCTTCTCTTCCTGGCCAAAGTTCCAGAAATAGTTGTCCAAACTCCCTCTCTCCACTTCCTCACTTCCCCCTCGCTCTCAGAGCCACCCCTGCCACCACCACACAGCTACTATTCTCGACTAGCTCACTCACTGCCTCCCTGTTGCTACAGCCACTGAACCCAACCCTGTCCCTATCACACTCTGACACTGTTGGCCGCTCTGTCCTTTAAAAACCAGCTTTGTTGTTTTTACAAAAGCAATTGACGCTGTTTTTTTTAAAAACAGGAAAACAATAAATAAAAGCAGCTGGGCCTGGTGGCTGTGAGCCTGGCACTCTGGGAGGCTTGAGTCCAGGAGTTCAAAGTCGCAGTGAGCTATGATCACATCACTGCACTCTAACCTGAGCAACAGAATAAGACCCTGTCTCTAAAAAATAATAATAATTACTGCATTAAAAATGTAAAAATAAAGAAATAAGTAAATAAAATAATAATTTAAAAAATCAACAAATAAATAAATAAAAGCACTAGGAGGCTCCTCCTCAGCTCCCCCTGTCTCACTGCTGCAGACAGAGCCACTATTGCAAGAACATTCAGCTGCCAGACAGCCACCCAGTGCAGCTGCCCAATGTGCAGAGCAGCCTCAGGAAATCCCAGCAATTAGTCACTGTAGTCTTCTTTTCTTTCTTTCTTTTTTTTTTTGAGACACAGTCTCACTCTGTTGCCTGGGCGAGAGTGCGTGGCGTCAGCCTAGCTCACAGCAACCTCAAACTCCTGGGCTCAAGCAATCCTCCTGCCTCAGCCTCCCGAGTAGCTAGGACTACAGGCATGCATCACCATGCCGGCTAATTTTTTATATATATATTTTTTAGTTGTCCAGATAATTTCTTTCTATTTTTAGTAGCGATGGGGTCTCGCTTTTGCTCAGGCTGGTTTCAAACTCCTGACCTTGAACGGTCCTCTCACCTCAGCCTCCCAGAGTGCTAGTATTACAAGCATGAGCCACCACGCCTGGTCGCGCTGTAGTCTTCTAATTCTGGGCAATTCCTGTACTTGCTCCATCATAGACGTCATGGAAGCCATGAATATTTTCAAATAAATATGTACATACATAAATAAACAGAGAAGAGCCTACATTCATTAATGCTTCAACTCTGGTCCTAAGAGTTGCTTTAAATCCTGCCCTAGAAATGACATGGTCTCCAGGTCTACTTAACTAGTCCCTGTTGGTCTCTTCAGGCAGGAAGCCTATCTAGGCTTGGCTTTCCTGACAGCCACCAGTTGTTTTCCTCTCCCTGAGGCTTATCACTGGGGGGGTGACAGGAATGAAGCACACAGGCATCTGGGATCTTGTGAGGCTTGTCTTGTGACTTCTTAGACACATACAGAAAAGTGGGTTTCTCATGACCAAAGTTTTTATCCAAGATAAAGTATAAGATGGAAATCCCACCATCCAGAACAACAACTTTAACAATTTTGGTGAGTGTCCTTTAGACCTCTCTATACAGTCTATACACTATATATATGAATATAGTTTCACATACATGGGATCATAATTTACATGTTATTCTGTGATCGCTATTTTTACTCAGAATATGCAATGGATAGATTTCCAAGTCAATAACTATAGACTGACACCAGGATTGTTCATGGAAAATAATTATCTGTGATATTTACAAACCAGGATTTACTAACTTATCTCCTAATGTTGGGCATTTAGGTTGTTTGATACCATAAACTACACAGTGATAAACATCTATGTTCAGTTTTTTGCTTTCATGCAATATTCTCCTCATGGTAAATTCTAGGAAAGAACCAAGCTGTATAGTGGTGTGTACATTTTACATTTTGATACAATTACCTAGCTTCCTTCTGGAAATGTACCAATTTATACTCCTACCAACACTGGATTTAAGGACATGTTTGACCCACTGTCACCAATATTGGGTTTTGTTGATTTATGGTTTTGGAAGGTGACCCTTCTAATCTGATTCACTTTTTTGACCAATTTAAGTAGTTTTCTTTTAATAAATTAGTTTCTCTCATTCACATTTGTTATTTTAATTATTATGTGTGTTTAATTCTATCACCTTATTTTGTTTTCTATTTTTATGCTTCGTTGGCATATCTTTGTTTTCTATCTTTCAGTGAATTCTATTTTCTCGGGATTTTTTCCTTCTGGTAGTTTGTTGTTGTTGTTTTGAGACAGAGTCTCACTCTGTTGCCCAGGCTAGAGTGCCGTGGCGTCAGCCTAGCTCACAACAACCTCAGACTAATTTTTTCTATATATGTTTTAGTTGGCCAATTAATTTCTTTCTAGTTTTAGTAGAGACGGGGTCTCGCTCTTGCTCAGGCTGGTTTCAAACTCCTGACCTTAAGCAATCCTAACCTCCTCGGCCTCCCAGACAGCTAGGATTACAGGCATGAGCTACCCAGCCCCTTCTGGTAGTTTTGAGGATATTTCACCTGCTTTTAGTTGTATAAGTGGGCATTTGTGCATTTCATCATAAACTTAGCTATGACTTTCTCAAACAATGCAGTATTTAGTCCTTTCTAACAACAATAATGATAGCTAACATTGTGTGCTTACTATGCCCTCATATAAACTGCATGAGGTGAGTAGTGGTGTGTTTTTCTTTCCTTCCTCCAACTTTTCCACATCTTCAGGCCTGGGTCATCGAATCTGAGTGCTTTGTGTACTTTTTTTTTTAATTTCTTTATTTTTTTCTATTTTTAGTTGGTCAATTAATGTCTTTCTATTCTTAGTAGAGACGGGGGTCTCTCGCTCTTGCTCAGGCTGAGCCTGCCTCCCAGAGTGCTAGGATTACAGGCATGAGCCTTGTAATCCCGGCCTTGTGTACTCTTAAAATTCCTTTGGTCCAGGCGTGGTGGCTCACGCCTGTAATCCTAGCACTCTGGGAGGCCGTGGCGGGCGGATTGCTTGAGGTCAGGAGTTTGAAACCAGCCTGAGCAAGAGCGAGACCCCCGTCTCTACTATAAATAGAAAGAAATTAATTGGCCAACTAATATATATAGAAAAAATTAGCCGGGCATGGTGGCCCATGCCTGTAGTCCCAGCTACTTGGGAGGCTGAGGCAGGAGGATTGCTTGAGCCCAGGAGTTTGAGGTTACTGTGAGCTAGGCTGACGCCACAGCACTCTAGCCTGGGCAACAAAGTGAGACTCTGTCTCAAAAAAAAAAAAAAAAAAATTCCTTTGGAAAGAAAAATCATACCTTGGTTGGGTCTGAGCTCAACCCCTTGCCCAACTGAACAGCCCTGATTATTTCTGTTTAGAATCATTAAAAGTCCCTTTCTCACTTTCACCTCCAAAATCAATAGTATCCTAAAAGCATTATTTTTTAACCAATACAGGCTACTCTGGTACAGACTGTTCTTTCGCATGATAATGTCATTCAATCCTCACAGCAAGCCTATAAAAATGCCTCTGATCTCCCACCTGAGTGACATGAAAACTGGGGTGTAAAGACATAGCTTGTGTGATTTGTCTTTGCACTTGGTGCTCAGTGCATGCTCTTAGGTAGTGTCCTTTGATCGTATTTTTAAAAAATAGAATAAAATAATCAAAACCAAGATGATTCAAAACACCAAATGAAAGTCTTCAGGCCTTTGCCAAAGAATATATTTGTAACTCTATGCTATTTAGCTCTTATCTTTCTATAGAAAGAAGTTATATTTATGGAAAATTGTTGGTTTAGAAGTCTCTCTCTCTCTCTCTCTCTCTCTCTCTCTCTCTCTCTCTCTCTAGATTAGCATTTTCCAAAGGGGGTTCCTTGGATGTTGTGAAATGTGTAAATAGGTATTATGTGAAAAATGGGTATGGTCACCTAACTGTGGAAAACACCAAACTAAACAAAATTGCCCACAGAAATTGCTGAAAGAGTTGCCTTTAATAGGTTAGTGTGCGCCATGAATCTTCAAGAAGAAATTGTATGACTTATTCCCAAATTTGCTTGACTGCTATAAGTGTCTAATATTAATAGCATATTGGTACTCTATGGAACACAGTTTGGGAAACATTGATAGATGGAAAATGGTTTTCCATCATGTTAATTCCTATTATATTATCAGCTTTCTTTAAGCCATGTGCAGATTTACCAATATACTTACTAGTCCCTATGCTCACAATTACATTTGGTTTCCACTTTTCCCTTCATGGTTTGATTTCTTTGTTCCTGCGGATATTTCTTTCTTTCCTTCTTTCTCTTAAGAGACGGAGTCTCACTATGTTGCTCAGGCCGGATTCTAACTCCTGGGAGCAAGGGATCCTCCTGCCTCAGCCTCCCAAGTAGCTGAGACTACAGGCACTGCCACCTGCTTGACTTCTGAGTACATTCTTCAATAGCTCTTTCAGCACAATCTTATAAAAAGTAAACTCAATCTTTATATGTCTGGAGTCAGAGTATAAAAGAGTCTGATATTGTGGGTTACTAAGCCCCAGCATTTTGGAGGTTTTAGGCCATTACATAGGGTTTGGCTTGGGTTTGCTCTCTCTGTCCACAGGCAGACTGTTGCCTATTTATTTGTTTGTTTGTTTGTTTGTTTGAGTGCGGTGGCTCACGCCTGTAATCCTAGCACTCTGGGAGACTGAGGCAGGCGGATCACTCAAAGTCAGGAGTTCGAAACCAGCCTGAGCAAGAGCGAGACCCCCGTCTCTACTAAAAATACTCTGTTTGAAACAGGGTATTGCTCTGTTGCCCAGGCTAGAGTGCAGTGGCATCATCATAGTTCACTGAAGCCTCAATCTCCGGAGCTCAAACAATCCTTCTGCCTAAACTGGGACTACAAGCATGTGCCACCATGCCTGGCTAATTTTTTCTATATATATTAGTTGGCCAATTAATTTCTATTTATAGTAGAGATGGGGTCTCGCTCTTGCTCAGGCTGGTTTCGAACTCCTGACCTTGAGCAATCCGCCCGCCTCGACCTCCCAGAGTGCTAGGATTACAGGCGTGAGCCACCACGCTCGGCCTCTTTGACTTTAATTTTCTACAATTTTACTCCAATGTGTCCAGATGAGGATGTGTTATTTGTCCTGTTTGGCTTGGAGGGTTCAGTTTGAAAAATCAAATCTTTAAAATTTCACTCATTATTTCTCCAAATATTGCTTCTCCCCTATTTCATTTGTAACTCCTATGAGATGTTATGTGGGATCTTCTCATTTTATTCTCCATGTCTCTGGTTTTTTAAAAAGTTTCTTTACTTCTTTACCTGTGCTGCATTTTGGATGATTTCTTTATATCCCACTTCCAATTCATT